TGCGCGGGAGTTGGAGCTGAGCGGGAGCGCGCCGTGGGCGGAGAAGGCGCCCACGCACCCGGGCACTTAATCGCGGAGGGTCTTGGCGAGGGGGCCGATCGGGGCCCTCCAGGAAAGGTCTTTGGCCTTCCGGAGCACCCTAGGCTCTTCCGAAGCTGAGGTGGGGCTCATCCTGGAGTTCACGGGGTCCGAGGGCTGCCTAACATCCCTTCCCTTGCCTGGGTTGCTGCTTCCTCCTGGGTCAGCGGCAGCTCATCCCTGTTCCCCAGGCAGGAAGCCCGCTCCTCCCTCTTGCCGCCCACGCAGCCCCGAGGGCCCTTCTGCTTTGCGAGCTCGAGGCCCTTTTGTGTGCTGCGCGGCCCTCCTTTCTTGCTGCAACAGTTACCGCTGCGCTTCCTCGGAGATTGGACGCGCCTTCCCTTTCCCACCTGCGCCCCTTTCAAGGATTCTCTCAGTGGGAAGGTCCTTCGGCATCCACAGGGCTTGTGATTGTACGCCCAGTGTCTTGTTTCTGAAGGTTCCTGATCCGCCAGCACTCCCTCTGGCCCGAGGGTTCCTGACCGCTCCAGTTTCTCTTTCTGCTGGGCCCCTTTCCTCCCAGGGTTTCATCCGCCTTTGGCTCTCTCCTGTCAGTGAGCTGCAAGTGTCGAAAAGCGTCCGTGTTTCAACCTTTCGGAAAATAAAAGACCCAGGAGGAATTTGGGGGGACCTGGCAGTCTTTGGGTTTTCAGCAGGTGCCCGGATACTGAAAGACTTGCACTAGGGCCGTCTCTCTGGCTCAGCAGAGCCTCACCCAGAGCTGCTCTTGGGCGTGGCAAGCGCACCTCCTCAGTAGGAGCACTGCGTGCCCTCCCTGCACATACAGTGCTGCTCCCCTCTGTCCTTCTGAATAAGCTCTGCCCTTCAAGCCTTGCACACCACTCGCGAGTTTCGTCCCACCGGGCCTGTGATTTCCCTTCCTGCGCTGAGACTTCTCTCTCTCAGCAGTCGGCCCATGTTGGCCACAGGGGCCCCGCTGCCTTGCGCGTGGTTCACATCTTCCTACCCTCTCCTCGGAGTTCATCCTCTTGTCTCCGTTGTTTGTTAGAACCCCCCAACCCCTAACTCCTGGCCAGCTCGCATCCAGGGCGCAGCTTCGCCCAGCCAGCCTGGTCGCCTGACGCACCGTGGCCCTCAGTGCCTCAATGCTAGCAGGCTCTGGCCGTGGGAAGAGCGGCCTTTCCTGGGAAGAACGATTGGCCGATTTCTAGGGGACGGCTTCACAGGAGCTTGCTTTTTTAGACTTAGTGAAATGGAGTTCCAACTGCCCAGGTTGGGCCCTGTCTCGGGACAGGAGGCACTGAGCCCAGGCATTTTCACCCATTCTGAAAAAAGTCAAAGTATCAAACTGAGCCAAAAAGGCTTCAAAATTTATCAAATATATTTAGAAAGTGATTTCTCCCTTACAAGAATGCATTGGTGGAGATTTGTTTTTTTAAATCCAGAAGTACTATACCCCTATTTAAAACGATCAAAATATTCCAGGCAATTCTAACCATTGAAATATTCTTGGTTTCCTTTTGTATAATTTATCTGCGGACATTTAAAACTTTTTTCTCTTTGTCGCTTTCCAATCTCCTTCCTGCTGAGCAAGATTCTGGAAGAGTTGTTTCACTTTTCTTTTTCTTTCAGAATCCCTGAAAAAGCAAAGACAAATTCCATTTATATTTGGAGACAAAAATACCAGTGAAACATTTTTCTCTCTCCCTGTCTCAAGTTAGGAGAACTAAGTGGTTCTTTTCCTGCAGAATTATTAACGGCTGGAGACGCGGAGGGAGACTGAAGACATTCTCAAGAAGTCCACACAGAATCCCAGAGCTGGATTCAGGGCCAGAATCCAAATTAAAGCCATTTACAGCCTGGATGTCTTGTGATTGTAAGGATCCTCATAAGCCACCCAGTCATGCTCACGTTTCCTTCTGTTTTGAGTATCCTTCCACAGTTCGTAATCGGGCCCCAAAATGATTTCATTCCTGCTGGGTTAACAACGGTTGGAAACCTTACCAATCGTTGCTTATCGCTCCTTTCTCTATAACAACTTGCTCGGGGCCCGCTACGAGGTACCAGCAACCATAAATCAAAACGCCCAGATCTGTGAGATTTCAAAGCCTCATTCTCTAGGCAGAGACTCTTTCCCAACCGTCAGTATTTTCCTCTGCTTTTCTTATGAAACCACAAACGTCCAGCAGGTATCCGATGGAGCTACCTGTCCACGATTTCTGCAAGCTGCATTTTCGCGAGGAACTGGTTGTCTCTGCGGATCTCGCGCACGGCTCCCTTGAGTTCACGCCTGTGCTTGTGAATGAGGCGCTTTCTTTCCTGCTCCAGCCTACTGCTGCCTTGTTTTCTTCCGAATTCTAGCCTGAAATCAGAAAGTCTACGGTCAGAATGTCAGAGCTTCCAATTTTACTCACTTGATAAGGAGACTGGCACTTCCACTGCATGAAGTGGAAATCTGGTTCAGTTCCATAGTTTAGGGGAAAAGCCATGACAGAAAAATATTAAATAGAACCTTTCCAGAGTATATAAGCTTTAATTACTTTTCATCTCTATAGGTTGCACTATTAAGTAAATTACAGCTGAAGTGAGTATTTCAGCTGCTGAAATTTGTTTTTAAAAATTAGTTAGGCAAACACCAAGAAGTCTACGAATAAAAAATGGGGTAGTAAGAATAAAAATCACAATAAATTCTCATTTTACTTCCCTACACAACCCCTTTTAGTCCCGTCTGAATCTCCTCTGAGCTTTCTGAAGGTGGTTCTTGATCCGGAGCCTCCCCGGCTGCCCAGGCCAGTCTGTGAGAGCCCGCTGCCCTCCGCCCAGGCAGGGAGAGGAACAGAAGCGCAACCTGCGTCTGGCTTCTACAGCCATCTAACGCTGGCAGCGGCTAACAGCCTCAACCTGAACTCGAAGGACAGAGACGGAACGCTCCCC